CCATATTCGGGCCGGAGTTGGAAATTGATTTCTGGCCCAAATACTTCACTCCACAATCGGCCCTCATCTGGTTTGCCAGAGTCAAGCCAGTGCCTCCTTTGCCACGCCTGGGCCGTGTTCGGCCCACATGCGTTATGCCATTGCCGACACCAGGCCAGCTGTGCCGGCTTCATGCCGAAGCCGGGCCAGATGCCTTTGCTGACTGGGTAGATATGCTGTCGCTTGAGTGAAATGAAAAACGCTCAGCGATAAACTTCCTGCCATGAACTGAATGGACAATCAGACAAATAACCAGATACAAAATGAAAACACTGGCAAGGAGAATGGATGAGCAGCTACTATGTCGACTATACGAGCGACTGCAGCTCACCAGACCACTTGCATAATGTGTTTAAATCTCCATTTTACAATGCCTGTGCTATTTTTCTTTGTTGAATAGCATGTAACAAAAATTGGTAAGTTTTGGGGGTGGAACAGATGAATAAAAAATTTATTTCATTCAAGGTACAACAGTATACGTCAAGTACATTAGGTTAATACATAGTAGGCTTAAGTGCGAAACAAGACAGGTATTTTTCTTAAAAAACAAAACAAAAACATTTCATTTTATTGTAAGCCAATGTAACATTAGACACAGTGCTTCAATATAGGCCACAGGTATCAAATTCAAGGCTTGGGGGCCAGATCTGGCCCGTCATACCATTTTGTGTGGCCCGCGAGAGCAAATCAAGCATGCCAACTTTTCCATGATGCTTGCTAAAGTCTGAACCAAAACCGTCTTATATATCATTACATAGATATTGCTAGCATTATCTAATTACGTACTAAAAATGTAAACAATGACTGAACTAACCATTATACTTGACTTCAGATTTCAAAAGTAGTTATCCACCAATTTGTTGCGCACTGTACAGTATATGCAATGTGTGCTGGTGATCAAACATTGATACAGTTTCACAAAATTCAAAAGTTTTTATGGGCCGCTCAGATAAACAGTACCTACAATGTGGCCCACTACAAAAATGAGTTTGACACCCCTGATATATGCTAATACAGAAATGTCCTCAAATAATCACTCTTTTACTGAATGGAACATTTCGCTTACAACTATCGTCGACCTTGTCCAGGTGATTTTGAAGATCCGGCAACAAAACCCCTTCATCACGCTGCTGCTTCCCAGCATTCTGCTCATCCTGGCCGACATGGTGAGCTTCGCCCTGCCGCTGAGATGTGGCGAGCGCAACTCCTTCAAGGTCACCCTGGTGCTCAGCTTCACCATGTTCCTGCTTATCCTCAATGACCAACTGCCCGGCGACAGCGAGTGTGGCCCCATCATAAGTCAGTCGGCGCCGACGCTAAAGCGACGTGAGCTCTGATGACCGAGCGTGCGGCTTTGCGCTTGCAGAGTACCACTTCTGCGTGTGCCTGGTCATGCTGGTGGTGAGCATGCTGGTGTCCATGGTGCTCACGCGGGTGGCCAAAGATGGAGGCCTCTTCTTCTGCTGCTTTTCCAGAAGAGCAAAACCTGCATATCAGCTAAGTGGAGCTGATGAGGGTGAGTGAGTCTGCACATGAGGGCTTGTGGGGCATGTGGCAGCTTCAAATATTGATTGACATTGTCCATTGCACATGTGACCTTTTAAAAGGCACCGTTCAGCTTTATTACATGTATTTTTGGTACAAGTGTAACTTTAAGTCAGAAGTAGGGCTGAATGATTTAAAAGAACCACTGTCCCAATGTTGCGAATGAATATGCGATTATTTTTATCTTTTCAGGTATTTTTGAACAAACACAAACATAACTACAGTACTACGTTGCAATGGCAAATCGAAGTTGATTACCTGTTCAGACCTATACGATAGGAAAATATTATCATATAGTAATCATGGATTACTTTATTGAGATCCCCCCTCCCCCCATCAACATCGTGATTAGCGTACAATCACTGTACTTATGATAATGTCACAGTTCTTTGAAAAATATTTGATCGCGGGTTACTCTGCAATTGCAACCCGTCATTTTGTTGTATTTGGGCAGAAGTCAAAGCAGACATCAGCGTCATCCAGCTGGACAACTCCGAGCAAACTCAGATGCACCGAAAGGTGACCGATTTCCTGGACGCCATCAAAGCAAAGGAAGAGGAGTGCGACCGCAATGAGGCGCTCGCCGACAGTATCGACAAAGCCTTTTTCTGGTTCTATTTCATTCTGGGTACGCTCTACTTTTGCGCTATGATCACGGTGATGGTGAAACATGAATGCGACGTGAATCACTTGGATTTCTTGTAAATGCCAGTGATGGCAACTAAATTACAAATACTTGATTACTGTACTTGAGTAGGGTTTTCATGTATCTGCACTTGATGGGTTCGTGGAAAACGCTTAGCGGCAGTTTGACTCCAAAGTATTTTGGGGGTTAAATAAATGTTTCAATGCAATTTACTCTGCGCATCAAGTTTCACTATTCGAAGTCCGGTCTATGTAACTGGAAGTAAAAATTCCATTTTGTACTCAAGTATTTTTCAGAGTCTGTACTTTTACAGGAATTAAATCAATACTTCTACCCTTACAGTCTTTTTTCACACAAGTACCTTCATTTCTATTTAAGCACAAAGGGTACTTTAGCCACCTCGGGTGAATGGTTATTGAGGTCGAATGCATGAAGAGCGTAGTAGGCGGGAATTGCTGTGGTTTCACGATTTGCACACGCAGATAACCTGGGGCATTTCTACTGGTTGGTTTGCTTTTCCGAAGCTGCATACGGAAGTGAAATTTGTAAACAAACCTTATACGCGTGCGTAGCTCATCCGATACCTACAGTACGCCATTGCTGACAAAATTCAACAGATTTTTTTTTTTCCGAACATCTGAAGCATTAAAATAAACTTAGTACACACATTTATTTTGCTTTACTGCAAGAAGTCACCTTCTCTTACATGTAACTGTAATGTCACTTTCACTGACTAATCTATGGAAGAGTCGCCGCAACTGCGAGCAAAGATTTTTGTTCAAGTGAATTTCCGTAAACTCCTGCTGCATGTTTAAGTCCGTTTAGTAATTACGGATGTCCTTTTACAAACGCCCACGTGTCTCTATATATTGAAAGTCTTCTGAACATTTATATTCACTGTTGTTCATTATTCATACGAATAACTTCGATGCTGTCAAACGACACAGCATTTTATGTAGAAGCATAATATCAACATATTCAGTCGGACAGTAAAACGGATGAATCCCATCATTCCGAGCAGTCACTGAAAGCAACAAAAGCAACACCTCGCTTGCACGCGACCAAGCGTTACGTTCCAACTGCAACTCCTCCCAAGCGCGACGTTCGCGCATCGTGAAACGAGCGACTACCAGCGCCGGGCGGCACAACCTGCTCTATCAGGAACACTTTGACGCTTGCACTGCCGCCGGCAGAGACACCCAGAAAATACTGACACACCAAGCGGCGAGAGGAAGGCACCATGAACCGCTTCAAGACCTCCAAATTCAAAAACACCATTCCGAAAATCGCCAAGAAGGATGTGAGTAGTCGACTAGCTTGTGGTGTCTGCTCGTTTTGTAGCGTTAGCATCGCCGCGGGATACTACTAAACTGTTGTGGGTGGGAGTGAGGGGGGAAACGCCTGCTTGCTTGCCTGCCCGCCCGCCTGCATGCATGCCTGGTTGCTTGTCATGAACTTCCTACATTTGGAAGGTAACCCACTATCGTTCACATCTACCGGTTGTAGGTTTTTTTTTTTTTTAATGGATGCAAAGCAATCTCCATTACGATCCCACCGCAGCATATCTGTCATGACTGTACTCTATTTGCATGCGTTTTGAAAACTGATTCATGTCAAATTGCAACGCCTGCAGCTTCTCTCGGTGCATTATGCAATAGTGGCTGTAAAATCCCAGGAATGTTAAAGAGGTGCAATGTGTTCCTCCAATCTGTGCACGCCATCTAAATCACAGCAGATGGCGCTGTGCTGCCCCTTTAAATGGTACACGAGACGCCAGGAACGCATAACAATTCAAGGCAACTGAAGTTCAATTGTGTAAAAGGAACCTAACCATAACATGCACAGAAATAATGGGGGAATGTGGATGTATCCATCCAAGAATGTAAGAAATACAAGTCTTTAAAATGAAATGGATGCATAGAATGCTATATATGATATAAATTAATATGACGGAAACAACAATTTTTAAGAGCTCACTGCTGCGCAACATAGCGTGCACTTCCACTTCCGCAGCACTCTGCTCATCCTCAGGAACTTCAGTGTCAGCTCAGCGCTTCCTGTTTCTTTTTCACTCCATTGCACCATGACTTTGCTTGTACAGCCCAGAGCCCGTTAGTTGTGGTCTTGCGCTGGAAATTACACAATATTGACAACCTTGAGTGCGGTGCCAGGCCACGCATGTTTCCTGCGCCTTCAATGGGCTTCACTGACTGAATCACATTTTTAAAAGTCTCAATTTGGATAAACATTGCTGTACAAAAAAAATACCAATAAAATACCGGTATGTGTTTTTCCCCTGGTCACATGACATGCACCGGTTTTGATTGAATTTCTGTCACATGTGCCTTGTGGCCTCTTGGAATTCCAGGGATGGATAAACAACGTCCGTGGCGGATCCTTCACCTGCCAGGGAAACCAGATCAAGGCGAGTGCCAAGCTGGTGGCCTTCAATGCGGAGCATGCTGGTAAGAATTCCTTTTGGACACTTTCACGCTTTTTGTCCAAATGAAGCTCCTCAACTGACTTCAACGTAGTTCCTTGGCACCAAGATTTATTGAACTGTATTGAATACAGAGCAGGGGATCCATCGTGAATGAATGTGCCAAAGACAGGGTTTGGGAGTTCCGTTCGTGAATATTTTGCTTTCACATTTTTGATTTTGAGTCACGCATGTGAACAGGAAAAAGAAGCTTTTTTTTTTTTTTTTTGTCTTCCATGTTTATTTACGATGGCGTTCTTGCGATGTGCCCTCGAGAACCAAGTGCGTGTATGATGTGTTTGCAGCAGGCGGAATGGTCGGCCTGACGTCTGTGAAACCTGCTGCGGATGGACAATGGAGCGTCACCCAGATCTCCTGTCATTCTGGTACTTTTTATCAAAGCCTCAAATAATTCAAAGCAGACCTTAAGCATTCACCAGACTAATTCTGAGATTCCGCATTCCAGTTAGCCTAAAAAATAAAGCAAAAATGTTTTTATGTAAGACATTAAAGTGCCGGGCCAATGGCAAGTAGGGATTTCAGTCCCAATGGTGACCAACGGCAGAGCTCGAGTGTTGCGACTGGGTGAGCGGTTTCTAATGGTGGAAGCAAAAATCAGAGCGTGGAAAAAACGGAATGTGCGGAAAGACAAAAGATTAACTTGCTTGTTCACAGACACTCCAGAGAGCCAACCATCTGTACAGATTAGAAAGTCCATTTTCATCATTTTTCACCTTTCTCCATCAGATCTGGTGACCGACTTGGACTTTTCTCCATTTGATGAGAGTCTTCTGGCAACGTGCTCCGCGGATGAAACAGTGAGCACCTCCTTCCCAGGCCTGATGTTGTCTTCCATCTGAGCATCTTAGCAGCTCCCCGGTGACAATACGAGCTGCCTCACTTCGTGTTGTTTAAACCGCCTCCTCTCCTGCGTGTCATGTTCGGCTGCAGGTGTTTCAGCTTTCCCGGGAAAGCTGCTGCTTTTTAGACTCGGCAGCTCGGTTTTTATCTCGTAGTGCATTGGCCGGCTTCATTTGGTTTTATTTGAATCAACTCTCATTCCTCGCGATCATGCAGAAATCCAAACCTGAACCGCAAGTCATTTCCACGCCGTGTCCATGTCCTGCGCTATATTACCTCATTTCACATCATTAACTTGAGCTGAAGTAAGCTGCAGCTGCCTGGGCAACATCGTCCAGTCTGATTTTAGCAATCAAACATATGTGTTTCATTTGGTGGTTTAAAAATGGCCTTTTTTGTCAAAAGATAGAATTTATGATTTCGCCGTTATAAACTTAGACTGCCATCATGGATTTGAAGTCACATCGTCATAATGTGATCAAAGTTCTAATTAATACTGATCAGTTAAGTTGTAGAAATATGGACTTACATTGATAGTGCTCCTGCGAGCAACTTGTTCAAAACCAAAAACTACTACAATTTTTTTACATTTAAAACAGCAGTGATTCATTTGCAAATATAATGGATAGGTATGCCTTGTAGTCTATATTGTGTTGTCTTAAAGTACGGTGAAAACAGCATTTTGCAGTTAAGCGATTGCGATTTCAGCTTTCGCCGATTTTTAGGGCAACCTATCCTCTGTTATTTGCTGACAAAACTATGCCTTTTTGCTCATTTTATGATAAGGCCAAAGCCATGTCTAATATAAAATATGCTGCACGATCTGGTTCCAAGGAACTTTGTTGAACTGAGGAGAGCAGCTTTCATTGAGTCTAATCCAAGAAAGTGCTATGCCACCATTTTGTGGTGAAAATCGATATTATATACTAATGCTTTGTTTTTTTTTTTTTTGTTTTATTAGTTTTAAGTTTTTTTTACTGTATGAAGTAGTTTTTGCACGCTAAAGATACAGAAAAGTCACTAAGTATTGTGGAATAAAGTAAACTACAATTTACAAACCACTGTTTGACCACATTTAAAATGAAGCCCGAAAGTTCCTGCATGATGTTAATTGACAAAAACGAAAACCAACATTTTCAATATAATTAAAGTAGTTTCAGTTATTTCTTTTTTTTTTTTTTTAAAGCATATTTATTTGATATTGTGAATGAAAATGTTTTTTTTTCGTTTTCCTAAACTGTAATGATCTTGGAGTAACTTTACTTCCCAAAAAAATGAAATAAAAATAAAAAATCCTGGGCATTATAGTTGTGAAATCTGTACGACGTGACCTGATCAGTGTCTGTGTGCGCAGGTGAAGCTGTGGCATTTGTGCGACCCAGAGCTGGGGCAGCCCCTGGCGCCCGAGCTCACTCTCAGACCTGGGTGGGGACTGCTGGAGCTGGTGCTCTTCCACCCGACCTCTTCCGGGCTGCTGGCCGTCGGCGCCGCCAAGTGCCCACTCATTTGGGACACGGGCCGTCAGGATGCGCCGCTCGCAGGTAATCACGGCTTGTGCGCTGCGTTGTGTGGCTTTCCAGGAAGTATACTATTGGGACAAAAGTACTGAGACACTCAAAAGGGTTTTGCACTGACAAAATTGACATTTGGTGGATGTCTTCAAGTGCATTTCCGATCCAGACCGAAATTGAGTGTGTCCCGATACTTATGTCCATGTAGTGTATGACTTTGACATGTTTGTCTTGCACTCTCTGTGTTGCGCTGCTTTCAGTTTGTGTGTGACTGTAGGAGGCGAGTTGCCATGGTCCTATTTTGTTGTTTTTTGTCCCCCCTCCACCGGTGTCTCATTTGAACTGATGCTGGCCTGCCTTTCACAGCCACTGTGGCTCTACGTTTGTGAGCAGCGGAGGTAAAACGTTCCCGCCACCACCAACCAGCACCTCCCTTGAAACTCTTCACCTGCACTGGCCTTTAGGATATATTCTGTATCGCCACTGCAAAGCCTCTTTTACACCAGAGCCGTGACAAAAGACTTGTTTAGAATTTCGGATAGTGACGTGGTGTCATGTGAGCGGCCGTCAGAGATGTAATTCAGTCAAAAAATCTACATACAGATCCAAATATGTTCATAGAAAAATGTGTTCCGGCCAGTGTAAAAGGAGTGACAGACAGCATGCTCCCCCATCCCTTGACAGATGGCTGCTGATCTTGCCCCTTGCTTCAAATGATTTATATCATGTTTTCCTATACATTCATACATTTCCCTTAAAAAAAAAAAAAAAAAAATATATGATGTCTCGTATCTTGGCAAACTCGTAATGTACTACCCCCTGCACTTTCTGTGTGGTTATGTGACAAACTCATCCTCCTGTAATGCAGTGGGCCAATCCAGATTATCAGATGATAATTTTCCCCGAGGGGAGGATATGTGTGTGTATAAAGCAGCAAGGCCTCATTAAAAGATAGATGCGGAAATCTGCTGATGTGGCCTACAGCCTGGGCTAACGCTAAATACTAAACAGCTGTAATCAAGTCCATATACAGTACTTAGTAGCTACGGCAATTTCCTCGTTCCACTTTCTGCTCCTACACACACACACACACACACACACACACACACACACACACACACACACACACACACACACACACACACACACCTTTAAGGAGACATATTATGCCACCATTTTCAATTCAAAACCGTTCCTAGGTGTCTTAACATACTTCTGACATACATTCCAGAATTGTAGTCACTGGACACACTACATGATTGTCTTGTTGAAATTGGACCAAACAGCCTGATGCATTTGCTGCTGTAGTAATGGCAAGCCCAGCTTGTGGAACCAGTTGAGTTGAACTTTTGAGTGATGACGAGGCAAGCGGCTGCTACTTGCAGAAGTGATTGTGGGCGAAAAAGCCACACCAAAAGCATTTTCACTCATGGAGGCAGCACTCCACATAATCTTTGCGTGAACATACAAAACTCAGTGCAGCTCTGCTTACCTTTTAGAAGTGAGCTGATAAGCAGGGGTGTTGTAGCTGTCGAGGACGTGGCGGTTTTGGAACGATAGCGTTTCAGATAGTGTTGTCCCTTGAAAGTGGCTCTGGATCGTCCCCCAGCCTACTTGCCAAGTGACGAGGGAAGGTTATTGTGTCAGTTTGCCAAAATGGGATATCACAATTTTGAATAGCTCACTAACGGGCACATTTTTAGAAATAGGCAGAAGATTTACTTGATGGTTTAATTTCACACTGGGTGGGTGGGCATGCACTCCACCGAAACCCAATATTTGTATCGGAGTCCTTAAAAAGCGACTTTTTCATAGTATGTCCCCTTTAAGGTCTTGTGTGTTAAAAATGCAGCGCCATCCGTCCACATGTTGCAAAGGCCTCACACAAGCCGCTGTACGCTGTGCTCACCTCTGAACGTCCAAACTGGAAGACGACATTCTTCCATTCATGATGTGTTTTGTGCTCATGCAACATTGCGCAATTTTTCGTGTGTTCCTTCATTTTGTCATCCCGATCTTAACACAAGCGTTGTGTTCTGCGCACGCCTACGCGATTGAGGATAATGCTGATGATGTTGCCGTGTCATGTGTCCAGTTCTGGAGGAGCACGCCGACCAGCTGCAGAGTCTGAGCTGGAAACAGGATGGTTCACTGCTGGCTTCCACCTGCAAGGTGAGTACAAGAGCCCATAAAACTTCTGACCTTTTCACCATGACGTCACACGTACTTGCCACCACTTCGGAAACAAAACAACTCTCGCCCAAAGTCAGTGGGAATCAGCAGGAAGTGCCCCTGGATCAATTTGACCCATACGCATTTTTAATCATCTGATAGTGTCAAAAAGAAAAAAAAATAAATCGCCAAATTAGAAAAAAATCTTTCTCAACGGCATTGAAGTTGACTACATTTTTGAGAGTCACAAATTTAACGCTTTGCAATGGGTCAGTTTGACCCGCAGCATAAGAGGGTTGCAGTTAATAAAAGCTTCAGAGGTGATTTTTTTTTTGTTCGATTAGTCACACCCCAAAATATGTTGCGATCAATATAAAATAATAAATATGTAAAAGATGTCGGTAAAAGTGATGCAAATGAGGATTGCCGCCTTTGAATTTTCCCCTCTGCTCTTTTTGCCATTTTATTTTTTGACCACTGGATGGAGCAAGTGAGCCACATCTAATGAAGCTCTGTCCAGATGTCTTTCATGTCAAGTGTACACACCGCATTTACAGAGCGCAGATTAGCAATCCAAGGGTCGCTGTTGGAATATTTTCAAAGTGGGTAAAAAAGTGTTTAGAACGATTTGCTTTGACCTCACGTGACTTCCCTTGCTCAGCAAAACCACAGGAGTGAAAACTGTGTTTGTGTTTAATGTGTCCACGTGGGCCGTTCTCCAAGGCGTCATCAGCGATTAATCACACACCACTAGCAGGGATTTCCACTCAGTGTGGGGTGTGGCTTTTATTGTGTGCTTGAGTGAAACGTGTGGGTTAGCAACGTTATTAACACGTTATGAATGATTGCTAGTATAGTTGAGGTCACGGTAATGTAATGTCAAAATCAAGCACAGCAAGCAATGAGCGGTAAGATTGAAAAGACGCCATGCCCCAATTAAACGCTGTCTGCATCTTTCAATTGATAACATACTGTAAGTGCCGGATGAAAACGGAGGCTTCCTTTTTCTCCGCAGGAAAAAAAAAAGACTTTTGCTAACTTGTTTGCTGCATTTTCTCAAAGGGTGGTGCCCGCTCCAATAGACACCATGCTCTAATAAACCGCTGTCTGCATCGTCCATTTTAATGCCCAAATGCTGCCTGTCATATAGAAACTCCTTTTTTTCCACCCTTTCATCCAAGTGAGTTTTGTCAGCTTGTTTGGCGCGTTTCCTCAAATAGTGGCCTCCACTTTAATAGACGGCGTTCCCCAATCAACATCTAGATGCAGCACTTTGTAATATAAATGCTGCATGCAAATACTTTTTTCCCATCCAGAAAGGTGACTTTTGAAAACTTGTTTGCTGCATTCCCTTCAATCGTGGCCTCTATGCCACACCCCAAATTTATGGCTGTCTATGTTGTCTGCTTAAATGCATAAATACCACATGCAAATGGAAGCCTGTACCCCCACCCCCCAAGGAAAAATGACTTTTGACACCTTGTTTGCCCTATTTTCTCAAATGGTGGCCTCCACCATAATAGACGCCATACCCCAAATAATCTCCGGTTGTTAGTGGCCACTTGAATACATAAATGGTGCACGTCAAATGGACACCCCTTACTTTCCCCTGAGGGAAAGTGATTTTTGGAAAGTTCTTTTTCTACATGTAGTGACCCCTACGTTTGTCAACGCCACACCCCAATTAATTCCTGTCTACATTGTCCACTTTAATACATAAATCCCACATGCATTTTTCCCCTCATGAAAGGTAACTTCTGGCAACTCTTTTAGCGCATTTACTCATAGAGTCGCCTCTACTTTATCAGACACCCTTCCCCAATTAATTTGCAAATAAAGGCCGCCATTTTCCCTTCCCATACTTTTTTCCATAGAAATCAGGAGGGGCCTTTTTGATGGCATATATGCGAGCTGAGCTCTGGAACCTCACACAAATTCTGGCGGATGTTGATTGACATGAAAATGAGTCTCCATGTGGAACTGAGCGACGTGTGATAGTCTTAATTGCCCTTAAATCTGAATAAACGTCCGTCCGAAAATGCGCCACATGTGTCCGCTTAACGGGTCTGATTGTCAGGCCCATCCCCTTTGTTTGTCTTTGCTGTGACAAGTAACAAATGAGTCTGTCAGCATCACGGGTCACGTCCCAATCATGAAGTTTAAGTCCAAGCCCTTGGGTGCTCCCGTTGGGTAAATTTGGAGGGGGGGTGGGGGGTCATGCCAGAGTACTGACGGGATCACAACAGGCCTTGTTTGGATCTCCAATTGAATTATTTTTGATACTTTCTGGACAAGAAAGAGCCCATTCATGATTTATTCAAATGAGGGAGTGGAGCAGGCGAACGCCGCAGGTTCGGTTTGAGGTATGACTGGAAATCTCCGCCTGCTTCTACCCCCGCTTTTACGTTTAAAAGGCACATTGTAGAGCGAGGCAACAGAGGAATCCTGGATCCCTCGAGCTGCCAATCACCTCCTGGCGTGTAACCGTGGGAGACTGGAGATTGTGGCGTCTGGCAGCAAAGTGTGTTTGCGGCGCAAAGAGAGCGCCTCTTGAATCCTCAAGATTCTCCATCGTATGTCTCTGTTTGTGTGTGTGTGTCTGTGTGTCTTTGTGTGTGTGTGTGTGTTTGCACCCTAGCCAAAGTTGTGTACGGCTGCGCAGGGAAAGCTCATTAAGAAAATGAGGCCCTGTCACTTTGCTTAAACAGCTGCCGCTTCTGCACACACACACACACACACACACACACATTGTGTGCCATAGGGCCTTCGAGTGTGTGTTTGCTTAGTGGACACATCTGTAAGTGAGCGGCCCCTCATCAGAGTGTTTGCGCAACCAGATAGTAGTTGCAGTCGTCTGAGGACGGCGGCCCAATCGCGAGCTTTCATAATATACTTTCTCAAACAGAAAGCCGACACCGCGCCTCAATTAATTGCCAGGTGTGTCGCTTGAATGCGTAAACGCTGCACATCAAAATGGAGGTGTCCTATTTCACCCCCTCGGGAAAAGGGACTTTAGGCAACTTGCGTACCGTATTTCCACAAATGGAGGACTTCGTTTTAGTCGGCCTTGTAGCCCGATTAAATGCACTTGGATGCATGAATGCTGCCTGCAACATGGACGTCTCTCTTTTTCATGAAAAATGACTTCTTAGCATATGTTTAACTGTATTTCTTCAAATTGTGGCCTCTACTCTAATCGGGACAGTGCTCCAATTAATCTCTGGGTGCTCATCCACTTAAATTCAGAAATGTCACATGTCAAAAATACCCTTTGGCATCTTGTTTATGGTTGTACCTAAAATGATGGTCTCTGATTCAGTAGAAACCGTTCCCCTAATTAATCTCTGGGAATGTTGTCCACTACCAAAGCTGCACATCGCATGGTCACCTCTTTTACCCCCCCCTGGGGAAAAGTGACTTTTAGCAACTTGTGCACACAAGTCCCTCAAATAGTTCCTACTGTCAGAGACACCACTCCTCAATTAATCACCTTCTGCCTCATGCACTTCAATGCAAATGTAATGAAATAGAAACCTTTTTTTTTTCTTTCACAGAAAAAGTTACTCTTGTCAAACGTCTTGACACTTTTCCCTCAATTACTGACCTCCGCTTTCGCCCTCCAGGAAGGCGCTTCAGCTACTTGAATACATTAACGCCGAACATCATCGGGGGGAAGAAAATTAGGAGGCTACAATTACCTTTATGATGTCGGATACCAACATGTTGAGTAAATAAACTCCCCCCTGTTGAGGAAGTATGGTAATAATAAAATGAGTGTGTGTTGTTTCGGATGAGGTCACAGCCGAGGGACGTCAGATCGTTGGGTGGTCCTGCTGCGCACGCACGCACAAACAAAGCTGACGTTCTCTCTATGGATTAGCCATTAATCACCCATTCCAAATTTCATTTTATGAAGTACAATAAAAAATAAGCATCAGTTGTCAAAAATCAGAGATTGCTTTTTCAGTGATTGAAACTTCGCCATACTAGGGCAAATTTATTGTCAGCTCATGTTCGATTGCGCTGCTTGGATCACAGTCACGCCCGAAGGTTGAGTGACAGCGTTTGATGCCACGCGTGGCCTGCTCACAGCCAGATCTCATTATGGTCCATTTCCTCCCAATCAGCCGGGACCCCAATGTGTTTGAGGCGGGCCGGGCCTGACCGGAAAGGGCTTTGCCAAGAGTTTGCCGCGTTGCTCATCATAAATAGGTGTGTGATCACACTGAGGGATGAAGAAACTTTGTCTGTAATCGGAGGTATAGCTGGGTGGAAGAAGGTAAAACCAAGCAAAGGAGAATACTCTTCAATAACCAGGGCAGGCGGGCGGGGGAGGGCAGCGTGCCCGCGCCCAGTGCGGCGACGCAAGTGATCCCGGAGAAGGCTGCGGGTGCCCCGGTGTCAGAGATGTTCGCTCGGACAGTTGAACAAACTCAAACTAAATCAGGAAGAGATTGTCTTTTCTGCCGGCAGGAGGCGCAGTTTTCTACGAAGCCACTCCGTGCGCGCTTCTCAACTGACACCTGACCTCTGCAGCCTCTGCCGGCTTTTTATTGATAGTGTATGCAAATTACAAGTGATATATGAGAAAAACACTCCCTTCTTCATTTACATGTCACGCCTCTCAGCCCAGTCCACCGATACGCCCCTCAGATACCAAAACATCTCTCGGTACAAACAATGGATACCTTGTCAGTGATAATTTTACAGTTTGAGCCCTGCGAGTCCCAGGGACTCGCTGATCAGAAAAGTATGAGTCCCATTATGCATTTAGAGTCGCAAATTTCGAATTCTGAAATGGTCTACTTATTCAATTGCATATAATAACACAAACAACAACAATATACATTGATCATAGGTTTATTTCTTATAAACAAATGGTGAAAAAAATTTAAATAATTCAGGCATACAAGATTTGCTGAGAAATAGGTTCTGCATTTGGAACTGTGCGTGTCGCGGTAAAATTATGCGTCTAGGACGCTGGACGCAGAGGTAACGAGATGACTGCCTTGTTAATTCAATGAGTATATTTCGCATGAATTGAGACACTGTAACAAACTCAAGGACATCTTATTGTGCTGCCCACCCGAATTTGAACCTTCCTGTTTGTGCTATCAGTCAACAAGGCCTCAGTTTCATTCAGCTCAAGTTGGCCCTTTTTTCTGTGTGCTCTAAACACACGCGTTCGAGGTCAATCAAGCATACAACAAAATGAAACTTTTAAACGTGATAACTTTTGAATTTGTCCATTCCATATCCGCAACAGGTCTTGAAGGTGAACAGCCTCTGGCATGTTAGAATAAGGGAAGTCAGCAAGACAGATTCGGAATTTCGGGACAAGGACTGGATCTTAGGGCTGGATCCGTCAGGCTGGGGGGGCGAAGCGAGGCTGGGCGTGCGCCACAGCTGGGGCAGCAGCCGCAACGCCGCTTGCCCCTTCCCGCCGCCGGAACTGGGGTGGGGGTGTGGTGCCGCCCTGGTGGTGACCAGGCAATCGGTGCGACGGACAGAAGAAAACGGGATGATCTTGGGATCCTGGGTTGCTCATTTAGACACGAATAGCAAAAAAGTAATTGATGACCACCCTCACCCATAGTTTAGCCAGAAAATGCTCCAAACTGTGATCAGATTTCAAAACAGTTTCATAAAATTTCAAACTAAAATGACATTACCCTTCAAAAAATGGCTGACACGTGATTTGATTTTGAAAAAAAAAGGTATCGTGAGTGCACAAGCATGTACTGTATGTTCACATGTAGCATAGACTCTCAGTAACTTTCACTGGCTCCCTTCCCAGAATGTCTCTTAAGTCGAGACGTAGCACTTCAACACACTTCCTTGACATCAATTCCAATTTCGACAGGGTTTTGGCAGACTCATTTGGCATCTTGGGACATTTCAGAAAGAGCACAAAAAACGTGAAGGGGTGCTTTTTTCAGTGAGTAGCTGGGAATCCGTTTGAGGGGGAAAAAAATGCAAATAAGTAAATTTATGCATAGTTAACCTCAAATATGCAGGGCCGACTTTACACATGATGTGCAGTTGCGATAGTTCGTCTGAAGTTCTCCCATACTGAACTCATCTGGAAAACTTAAACTTGTTGTTATGTATCTATATCATTAAATGATATGATAATACGTAGGTCACAATACGATACGGATATTTTTATCGCACAACTCTATCTGTACATGTTGGGAGTATTTCCCCCTTTGATGAAATGAAAGCTTTGCGCTACCACGACGTCTTTTTGCGTGAACGAAGCACACTTTCAATTGCTTCTGCTGTGAAGCCATGTTGCAAAAGTTTCGAGCCAAAATACACTTCTTACATGTTCCTTGGTTTTGTAGAGGATCCCTATGGTTTTGGCATAAAAACAAATGATTCCTTGGAAGCAAATGACTTCTTCAAATTTTTGGAGTGCCATACGTCATTTCTGCTTAATATATGCAGGTGCACAAAAGGGGCTTTCCCCAAGTTATTCCCATAGCCAAATGCATACAACTGTTCCAAAATATCTTCAGAGTCATGATTCAGGGTTGAACCAAACCGTGCCCAAAATGTGCCCCCTGGAAGTCTTTTCTTGATCATATGTATAATCCAAATTGGTTAATGATGACTATTCTCCCTCTAGGACAAGCTGCTGCGAGTTTTTGACCCCAGAGCCCAGCTGAAACCAGTTCAGGTGAGTCTTGGTTCTTTTACTTGGGAATGAATGCGAGAAGATAAAATATCTCAAAAAAAATGTAAAAAAGTGTATTTTTTTTCTAAACTTTCATGACATCAAGTTTGTTTCATCCTTGTATTAAAGGAAACATATTCTTTCATATTGTCTGTCTGTGAGTAGTTAAGTCACTGGATTGCCTGCCCACACGTCAAGTGCGAAATGAAACTGTCACGGTAACAAAAAACTGGACTTGGCATTGGCCCAGCAGTATGCGGGCTGGCTTACTTGCAGAAGGCAGGCCAGCCTCTAAGAAAGGAAAAAAAAATGATTGAATTCTTTCTCCTTGCCGTCTTTTGACAAAAAAAAAAAAAAACAACAACAAACCGTCACAGACATGTCATTAAGACACTCAAGATTTGTTGTAAATCGTGAAAGTGCACTGAGTGTGTGTGCGTGTGTGTGTGGCAGGCTCGCATCTTGCCGCCATGGTGGAAAAAGCAACAAGCCTGGTTGGGCTTTACTGTTCCAAACCATACTGTGGCGAGCTGAAACTTAACTGTACTCGCTCGCTGGATATGGCTGCAGATAGACTGTCAGCTTTAAAAAAAAAAAATCTCCATTCTTACCTCCCACTTTCTCGTGAGTCTTGGACGACCAAATAGGGAGTGCGCGGAGTGGCCCGCTGAGTCAGCAAAACCCCGTCTGCCTCTGTTCCAGCCACATGGCTTCCGCCCAAGTCAAATTGATTCGAGGCTCAATATATTCCCTCTTTGGTCTGCTGCTTCTGCTTAGTCAGGTGGCGGCTTCATTTTGTGAACTGTCTGAAAGCAGAAATGTCAGAAACAGATCAGGTGTGCGGCTCCACCACTTCCCCATTAGCGCCACGTTGGCGCAAACGGGCTGCGAAAGATGCAGACCATGAGTTGTTGGCGCAGGGAAATCGAACAGGTCAACTCATTTTGAATTTTGAAGTGTGGATGAGCATGAAATGTTGATTCTACACATTACCGAAGTGCTATTTCATTAGTGGATAGAAGGAGCATTGTGTTTCATTCCCTTGTGAGCCCAAATTCCATTGAGTTTAAGAATTTAAAGAACCAACACAGGGGCTCCTAGAAAGTATCCCCCCCAGCTTGACGCCCCCTGATTTTACGACGCCGCCAGTCAGTCGTGTTTCACATTTAGGCATGATGTGTCTTATGGGCTGCATCTTGACGAGCGCGAATAATTTTACATTATATATTCATAAAGTCCAAGTCAGTTTGGCGCATAATTGCATTCATTGCTGCAGGGGCTCGGAAGGTCCTATTTGACAAGGAGGGTGTCTAGGTTGCTGACGCTTGGTCTGTGGCAAGTGGTGTCCCACTTCCCCTTGCTGGTAATGTCATTAAATGCGCACGGTTCCTTTCGCGTGGCCCGCTCTGAACTGGCGTCGGCCGTAGCCAGGTGGGGAAAATATAGGCTGTAATTATGGCCACGCGCTTGCCGTATTTACGGGAAATCAGACAGTGCTGGGTAATTAAGGTCTCGGACAGGAGGAGTGGTATATCCTGGATCTGTAATCAGGGCAGTGTGTAACAGCACGGTCAGAGAGGAACTGGAACACTTTTAGGCTTTGTCCCACAACTGAGAGACAGATAGCGTTTAAGACTGTAGACAAGATGATCTGGTCTGTCCTGGTCTGGTGCCACCACCGGGCTCTCACAGCCATGATGAGAATTCAAGGCAACATTTGCAATACTTATTTGCTAGCGAGATCTTACGAGTGACCAACACCTGTGGCAATAATTAGATTGAGATTCCAAAAATATGGACATGGATTGTTCGTTCATGTTTGCCAAGATGGCGTCCAGCACGACCGTCATTGAAACCCTTTTTTGTTAAGCAAAATGGTCGAAGATGCCGATCTGAGGAAATGGGCTGACTGCGCCATTTGGAAACATCTCGGATCCAGGACTGACCTCAAGTCTGAGTAGAAGCTGTGCTCACGAGAATTTAATAGGACACCAAAATGTTTTAGTCGTCACACGAAGGAACGTTTGTATTGCTGTTTGGATTATTAATGTACTTTTTCTTCACCCTCTTTCTTGTAGCAACCATATTAACGTGATACTCCAATCCAAACATAATGCTATGGTGCCTTGAGATTGTGAGTGACCCACCCATTCAAGATGTGAGCCAGCATTCAATTGTTTTTGTTGTTGTTTTGCTATGACTTGCGAGATATGAGCACTATTTAGGCCGTGAAATCAACTCAATTGCTTCTTCAAGAACAATTCTTCAAAAATGATACTTCAAGCTGTTTTAATTGAACGCCCAGTTGAAGTTTACTGTCAAATCTAAACATCAAACAAAAGGAATTAAACATCCTATGTTTAAAACAGCCGCACAACTTTGCCTTCCGGGATGGCTGGACCGGATTGATGGCAGTTTCATTCATTTCAATGGTGAAAGATGATTTGAGTTGCAGTCTTGTGATTTTATAGCATAATTGCAGAGTGAATTAAACTTGTGTAAGGCTTTAAGGATATGCGCTTTACGGGGTCTATCTCGAAGTTGTTGATTTGCATCTTTTGGACATTTTGCTAAGTGTTTGGTTCTTTCTGCAAGTGTGTGCTTGAGCGTATTGCATGCACGTGTTCCTAAAATTGCAGTCCTGAAAATACCACTAATAGTTTTGGTCCAGTGTTGGCCACAGAGCCGGTGATCTGCGGTTGCTGGAAGAAGCGAAGGGGGGAAAAAAACGGAGCAGTTTGCTGGACTTTTGGGGTCCTTGATTTCTTGTGCTCAGCAGCACAAGCTTCTGGTGCTCTAGGTGAAATTAGAGAGGACCACAGACTGCAATGGGTTTGGATGACACGAGCGAATGAAAATGCTGCAGGGCCAAGGAGAAAAGCAAAGCGGTTTGGCTTGTGTAGGTAGGCCAAGAAAAAGATTCCTCAAGGTGGCTGCTGTACAGTATTATCCTTCCTAACCCACCATTAGCTTCCTGGAAGGTGTTTTGGTGCACTCCTCATCTGGAAAATTACAAACTGCCTCAACAGTGATGCTTTTTAAAAAAAATCACTTACAGCAACAACCTAATTTAACCGAGGAATGGTATAACTGCAGACAGTTCCTCCGTTGTATCAGTGGGGCATAAGTACAGAACACATTTTCAGAAATATTCATAACAACAAGATCAGCTTTTGCTTTTTCACATGACACTTGATGGGCGGGAAGGCAGACTGTTTCCAAGTCATAAAGAAGTTCCTTTTCCATATGTCCCCTTTAAGTCAAGCCGCACACCATGCTTTTCTAAATAGCTTCTGTCAGTGTCGAATTTCAGTAATTGCGTCGAGCTTTTTAGCACTTGTGTGCGCCTCTCACATATCCTCATGTCGACTTCAGTTGTGTTTTATGTACATCGGCCGACCATTTTTCAAAACCAAATGCAAGGAAACATGTCCTTGCAGTATTTCCAATCGACATAAAACCTGCCATCAGTCTTGTTGAAGTTAAAACAAAAACAAAAAACTTGACCACTCATAAAAAACTTGTCGCGAGAGCACCGTATTCCATTGAGCATTTTCCAGCAAATACCTCCCCTGTGAAATGTGAGTGTTTACACTTTGGAGTCAGGCCGAATGCTAACAGTGCAGGGATGTGGAGTCAACACCGTGAAAATGTCCACTTTTATGGCAATAAAGAGCAACTCGTCCAAGAATCACAGGCTACTAAATTCCAGATTCTTCATCAAAGTGTCCAATGGCGTAGCCGTGCCCTTTTGTACTTTTGAATGTAATTTTAATTTTATGGGACCAATTAGGAAACAATGAGTGCATTAATTATTTTTCTTACGTATTTTGCAAACCTGTTGGGAGAGTCTCTGTTAATTCTACGACACAGGTGTCAAACTCAAGGCCCGGGGGCCAAATCTGGCCCTCCACATCATTTTATGTGGCCCACGAAAGCAAATCAAGCAGGTCAACTTCCCTGACGCTTGCTGAAATCCGTACCAAAATTTCAAATTGTCATTTGTAATAAATAATACTGTTGAGATATTGCAAGCATTTCCTTATGACTTTATAGTAACCTAAACAATAGAACACATGTTTTACTTTTGATTTCAACACTAGTTATCCATTAATAGTCCCCTTTATATATAAAATACGAGGAGGTGATTAAACCTTTATACGGTTTCACAGTCATAATGGCCCTCCGGCAATGCCGCCCGCAACAAAAATGAATTTGACACCCCTGTAGCCATCCATTCATGATCATTAGTGTTCCGAACTGTGACTTTGAAGTCAGTATTTTTTCTGGTTTTTGTGGCACTTCGAAGCGATAAAGCAACAACAGCAAGACTGAGCAAGGACTTTTGATGGCAAAATGAAAATAGATTGACAGATACAGTGCATGACGAAATGAGCTGCGAGTGACAATGACGTCAGTGGCTTTTTTTTTTTTTTGACACGTTGGTTGCCATTCACTCCATGAACCGTCTTGTCTTTGCAACACACACTTTCTAACTATGAACTACTGCAACCCATTCTGTGTTTATTCCATACATCCAAGCCAAAAGATGTCTGATTGTCGACATTTCCCCCACCCTCATAATCAACATTAGAAGCCGAGATTCACCCCCGTAACCTTGATATTTTAACTCAGAAACTGGTGATCCATAATGTTAAGTGATTCAGCACCGCTCTCGACAGGCTTCTGTTAGTCGTTCCACTTGGGTTACGAACTTGAATTTCACAGATTGCCCGGGCGAGGGCCTCTTCCACGCCTACTTGCTGAAAAATGTTCCGTAGCCTACTTGACAATTCCATTTGTCAGTGGCAGTGCACGGTTGGATTCCAGTGGTCGAATATAATCATTCACAATCAGTGAGAAGTCTTAGCGGAATGGTTTTATCTCCAATTTGGACTCTATTCCTTACCTCCTCCCCTCCCCTGGTCAAAAACATTTTCAGTTCTGAAGAATAATTCTGTTTTGATACAATACTGTGATTAAGAAACAGAATGCGTCCAATTACCATCTGAACTGGCCACTTAACATCTTGTACTGATAAACAAGGCCC